TATAATCAAATGCGTCAATTAACAAAAGAATTTCGTACACAAGCAATGACTCTCTATGTTCAAACATGTACTCGAGAACACGAATTATTAACAAATCAAATAACACAAATTATGAATGGTTTTCCACAAGAAAATGACGATGGATTCGATTGTGAACCTGGTTTTGCAGCATTCAAACACTACAATGAATTACGTGAAAAGCGTTCCAACTTAGAAGCTGATCAGTCGATCTATTTTTTAGACGAGCAGCGAGTCGAGGGCAGCGAATCGAACAACCAAGAAGAAATTGTCACCGCCCCGACTCTAACTCGATCGTTGGGCGAGGATTTCTTGCTCCAACAGTAATCAATGAAGCACCACAAGTAAAACTAACCGAGGATGAATATCAACTACTGAAATTAGGCCCTCGATTTATATATAATGATCCAAAAACAGCATCTCGACGACGTCTTACTGAGTTGGCTACACTCCAAAGAAAAATTGAAGCTCGATTTCATGAAAAGAAAGTTAGCCCCGGTCGTCCAGTCCATCAATTCATTGCTGAATTAGATATTATGCTCCAAAATTTACATGATATTCCTGTCAAGTCAAATCCTCGGTTAAATCAATCACAACAACAACAACAACAACAAAATCATCAACACAATGTTCTCGATATTCCAGATGATATGATTATTTCAAGTCAACCTCAAATAAGAAGAAATCGATCTTCAAAAAAGCCTAACTATAGTCGATTAGTCAAACGATTAAAACATAAATTTAGACTGGCCAATGTAGTATTAAGGAAGACCGATAAATCCAAAGTATTTCATCTGGGAAAACTTGAAGATTATCAAAAAAGATCTGAAGAATATATGACTAAAACCAATGCTTATCAGTGTCTTGGTACTCATGATCCATTACCTGATTTAATTCAACGAACCAATCAATATTTATTACAATTACGTCTTGCAAAATGGGTTACACAAAAACAATATGAAATACTATCTATTAATCCAAATGAAGTTGAATTGGCGCACTTATATTACTTACCAAAAGCACACAAACCTGGTACTCCTCTACGTCCAATTATTGCCGGTCTTAAACATCCAACGATTAAAATCTCGAAGTTTCTTGATGATCTTCTTCGACCACTGTTCAATCAAATGGCTATAGAAACAAATGTTACATCTGGTTTCGAATTAGTCAAAAAGCTACAAGATTGGTCAAGAACTAATATACGTCAAGATACTCTACTATGTACGGCTGATGTTACTGATCTTTATACAATGGTACCACAAGTGGAAGGAGTACTCTCGTTGCGAAAAATGTTAGATCATCTCAAATTAAAACAAGTTGACGGTTTAAAAGTTGAAACAATTATTCGATTGAGTCGATTTGTTATGCAAAATAATTACTTCTCATATGAAGATCAATTCTATCATCAAATTCGTGGCGGAGCTATGNATTTAACTGTTGTTTTTAGGTCCATCATTCATCCGATTGAATCAAAGTGCTATTCGTCCTCAACAACAACAGCAAATTGAACTTCAACATGAACATGATGGTATTGCCAGTAGAATTCAAGATTATCTAGTTCAATTTTATCAAATACCAAGAACAGCTTCAATTTTTCAAGAATATTCCTATCAGCTTTGGAATTATCTCTATCAATCTTATTCGGCACCTGTACCATATAAAGATCGAATTCTAGCACAACAGCAAGCACAAATAGTTACATCGATTCGGAAGAAGATTCGACAACATCATCTTGTTATACGTGTCACGGATAAAGGCCATCATTTTTATATTGGATCAACAAAGGAATTTGATAAAAAAGCTCAAAAATTCTTTTCTGAAACTAATGCTTATGTGGAAGTAACAGAAAATCCATTGACTGAACTTCTAAATAAAATTATTAAGTTCCTCAATAGCTGTTATTCGAAGAATCTTATTCTAAAATGGCAATACGACAAAATGATGCCTGATCGAGTCAAATCGGAATTATCTCATTTATATTTCAATCCAAAAACACATAAAGTAATTTAGATAAAAATAGATATCTTTAGATGAATTCTCTTCTATTCATTGTAGGAGAATATACCTGTTCGACCCATTGAAAATACTATTCGTGCAGCAACTACCAACATTTCCAAGTTTCTTGATCAAATTATCCGCCCAATATTTGATCAGAAATGTCATACGACAACTATTATTGATGGTGCACATTTAATCAAACGAATGAAGCGATATGTGAGAACGGGTGCTTTCAAACCATCTACTCTTTTCTGCACATTCGATATTCACAATTTATATACAATGTTACCACAAGATGAATCGTTGAATGTTCTTGTTGAATTTCTTCATGTACATGGTTATCGAAAAGTGAAAGGAATAGCTCTTGATACAATTCGAAAACTAGCACTTATCGTCATCAAAGAAAATGTGTTCGTCTATGGCAACAAAATCTATCAACAGACAACAGGTGGTGCAATGGGTTCTTCATTTACTTTAACATTGGCTAATATATTCATGTGGAAATGGCAAAAAGAATTCGTTCGTCAACAAGATATTACTGGTGAATTATTTGGCAGGTAAGAATTATTGCATTTAAAAAGAATATTTATATGTTATGTATTCATGCTAGATACATCGATGATATCTTGATGACTTGGAATAAATNACAAAATCTATCAACAGACAACAGGTGGTGCAATGGGTTCTTCATTTACTTTAACATTGGCTAATATATTCATGTGGAAATGGCAAAAAGAATTCGTTCGTCAACAAGATATTACTGGTGAATTATTTGGCAGGTAAGAATTATTGCATTTAAAAAGAATATTTATATTTTATGTATTCATGCTAGATACATCGATGATATCTTGATGACTTGGAATAAATCTGAACAACAACTAAGAGAATTATTGCATGAAGCTAATCAATGGCATCCAAATATCAAATTAGATTATAAAATTAGTCAAAATCTTCCATTTTTGGATGTTCTTTTGACTAATAATGATGGTATCCTTCAAACATCTGTTTATCATAAACCAACTACTGAACCATATGTAGTACCATTCACATCTGATCATCATCCATACATCTATGCTAACATGATTCAGACTGCACTAGCCAGAGCAATTCGATATTCATCAACATTTGAAGCCTTTAATCAAGAAAAAAATCAAATCAAACTGATGTTTCTCTACAATGGGTATATATTGTCCTTTTAAATATAGGAAATATCTAAAATTACAATTGTCAACTTTCCTTTTAGTTATTCTTCAATATATATCGACGATCAATTCCATAAATACTTTCTTGGATATATCAATGAAGCTGCATTCACACCAGTGATTACTGAGATGACGAAATTCTTCATATTACATCAAAAGATATTGGCTCAACCCACAGCTCGTCAAACACAAGTAACAAGAAGCATGACGGCAGCAGCTAACACAACTAACGAGTCATCCGAAGATTCAATAGCGATAATGCCGGATAATGTGACTAATTTGCAACGTCGATTTTTTATTCATTATACGCATGAGAGACGATTCCGCCCATTCAAACGAGATATGCATCAACTATATCAAAATGTATTCCAGAACACACCAGCTATGGCTGTGAAGATGGTAGTTGGTAATCGCAACCGTCGAGATAACACACAAGAACTTGTGCATAAGCGTCCAAAACAATCCTTATTGTCAAATAAGTGCGTGAAAATCAAACATTTGAAAGTTAAAAGTAAATTGTGTCATAGATAAGTAAAATCAACAAGTTTATTTGCTTTTAGACCGACGTGAACAACTTAGAGAAAGATCTAAATGAAATTTTACAATTTCTGTGTTATATAAGAAGCTCCAATGAACTTTTCTCTATAAGTCACATGTTCTTTCTTAATGAATATTCTATTTTATCTTTTTCTCAATATTTAATCCAGAAATACATGATTACTCTCTTTTCAGATTATTCTTTATGATTAAACTCGTTTGTATATATTTCAACCAACTATCATACACAGATTCACTATATCCATGTTATAATTATTACTCTGACTTTTTTATGATTTATTGAAACAACAAAATTACTTCTAATAGTACTTTGGTACTGATTGATCAGTTTCTTTCTTGATTGTTTCGACAGTTTTTTCACCGAAAACTTCACATTCGTCGTCAATGTCTGGCACTTGACGAAGTTGATCATTTGTTTCGGAAAATTTGTAATTTGGAACTTCACTTGCC